TATTTTGTATACTTTAATTTTCAAGATTTTAAAAATCAGACAAAATATTTTGAACTGAGAAGTAGCAAGCATTTCCAGAATTTAGTCTCCTCCTAACTTCCTCACGAGTGTCATTTTCATTTGTTATTGTTGTTCCCAGATATTTGAACTTTGTAACCCTTTCAAAGGATTTATTAGCTACCCTAAGATAATTTTCCCCGCCTGTCTTGTGATGACGAGATACTAACATGTACTTAGTTTTTTCTGAATTTACTTCTAGCCCCACCTGTCTACTAGCCTCTAGTAAAACTTCTGCGTTCCTCTTTATTGTATTGATATCGTCCCCCAATAAATTAACATCATCAGCATATGCCAATAGCTGATGTGTTCCATTCAATTGCAAACCCTCCTGGCTATCTTGGACCTTCCTAATAGCATATTCTAGCGCAAAGTTAAAGAACAAGGGAGACAAAGCATCTCCTTGTTTTAGACCGTTCTTGATGAGGAATATCTCAGATACATATTTACCTATTCGAATTTTGTTACAGGTTTCATTTAAGCACATTTTTAATCCGGTCCATACCACCCCAAACCAATTTATCTAAGATCCATTTTAATATTATCATCCTACTTCCTATTTCCTTCCGGCTTCCCCACCAAAACCCTGTATGCATCTCTTTTCTGTCCCATTCGGGCTACATGCCCTGCCCATCTCATTCCCTTGAACTTGATCATTCTAATTTTATTTCGCTCGTCATTATGCAACTTTCTCCAACGTCCAAGTAATTCATCCCTCTTGGGTTAAAATATTCCTCGCCGTATTAAATTCAAAATTTAAGAACATTTACGAGTTGCGGGGGTATTTATAGCGAGATTTCGTTGGTGCGGGCCCTCAAAATTTCTGGTTCTTCAAGTCAAGCAAAGAGTTTCTGCTTGTACCTTTAAATTTCAAGTACAAATACAACAGCCGAATCATCGCGCTGCCTTCCCTATCAGAGTAATTGGCTGTACGATAGAGTGTCTCGAGGCAATAAAAGGGGACATCTCCGAGGTAACTTCGGTGTGGTCTTCAGTTGCTCAACCCCAGAGATTTCACTTCCTTGGCGCAAATGCCGCTCCAACCATCACAGTCCCCGTAAATTCCCTGAGATTCGGAGACTCTTGGTCCCCGACAAAACCTGCACCAAATATCCCTTTATATCCTTCCGCATACCGAAATTTATATCTGAAGCTGTAACCGCGCGCAAACCGGGCACGCTACTGGGTTTGATCCCGTGGCATCCAACGTAAGAAGACAAGTCGTGTGCACAACCGAAGGCAAAAGGTAAAATTAGCAATTGCGAAGGAAGCCGAGGCAACAGGACAAAAATAAGCTACAGTTAAGAACAAAAGGATGACGTCACTAAATGCGTTCTTGAAGACCCACTTAGAAAAAATTACGTTTCAGACACTGTGTCTTCTGTTTTAAAAGTGGCGGGTTTCGCTAAACCTTGTATTATACATGACGTTTGGTCGAAGTTTGAGTACAATTAGCATACAAAGCGCTGTTCTGCATGAAACTGATAGCCTTCACACAAGCTTTAACAAAAATACACGTGAACGTCTGCTACTTTTCTTCTTCTTCTTCTTTACATTGACTCGGTGATATTGGGCCCGTTCAGAATTAATAATATTAAAACTGGTTCTTCCAACCACTCCTTTGTCTTCCTATATTCTTCTTTCCTATTGGTTTATATGTAAATATTTTCTTAGCCAATCTGTCCCCTCTCAGTTTATTAAAACGTTTCTAATTAAATTGATAATTTTGTATGTCATTTACAATATTTTTGGTCTTTAATTGCTGACTTATTTCCTCATTTGATAATCTGTACCTTCGGGTAACTCGAACGAAGGGTCTGGAAAATCTTGGATTCTTCTAATCGTCTCTTGTCTTCGTGTCTTGAGATCCAAGTTTCACTGCCGAAGTGTAGTGAAGATTTGGCTTACGGATTAATTCCTGACAGTGGGTGATATTTCCTTTGTGCTGCACCAAACCTTCTGTCCACTGAGTGCTGGACCAGAAGACGGTCATTTGGCTTCTAGACAACCAAAGAGTGGACTTTTCAGCCACGCCCCTGTTCCCCTTTGGTTCATGGTACTTACAGATACTAGCATCTTTTCATTTCACTCCCAACTATGAGTACGTGGGTTCATGACAGATGGCGTGACATTTCTCCGTTGCCATCTGCAGACAACCGACTGTTTTTTGTTCCAAAAATCTTACTACCTCGAACGACTTTACTCTGTTCTCGCCAATGAATCAGACCCTTCGAGGAACCATGGAGATGTGTCAGTTTTGAGTACCCCCGCCATGATGTACCTGGCTGATTCTAACTTGTTTGCAGTTAACCTTTGTTTTATTGTGAACAAGGCTCCAGACACACGGTCGAGGCGAAGTAATTTTTTATTTATTTGCAAAAAAGCAAACAAAAACATTACTATGAAATCAGGAAACGAGAAAAAATGATTGCTGTCTTCTGGTTTGTAACATCATGTACTCTACGTCCTGATGATGGAGGCAGCAAGGACCTGTGAGCGTTGGTAAACGTCTACCAGACTACACGGCAGACTATGACTGCGTGGTATTGCCCACTTATAAATATATTCTTTTTGGATATCTGCATTAGTTCATTCGCATTCTTCTCCATATCGTTTTAATCATTATATTTCCTTTCTCACTATTATTGTTTCGTCACCTCACGTGCTCATTATTTCGCCATTTTGTTTACTTTCGATAATTTTGCTGTTGTTCTCAAATGTTCCACTTCCAATTGAAGTGATTTCATATATTCATCCTCCTCCATATTGGGCACACGACATATTTATAATAAATATTACGTACATTGTTTAACAAACAGCCAAATTCTGAATCAATTGGGCACTGCATCATGCAAAGTGGTCGTGGCCTAATTTAGGTACTGTCCCGTAACTTGTCAGGAGGCTTTGGGGAAAACCGTGGAAACAGAAATTTAGAATAAAATGTCTTCGCGCCTACATTTTAACCCGGGACTTACTTAATACGAAGTAAAGTACTAACCACTCGATCGCGAAATTCTGTATCACTGATGATGTCATTATGTTTACCGAAACATGTAATATTAAAAAATTGTGTTATTATTAATAATAATGTTAATAGTTTTATGTGGTAATGATATTAAAAGACAACTATAACGTATTATTATCCTCATTAGGAATCGTTAATGGCCATTTATGTCACAAGAACTCGAGGGAAACATTTCCGACATTAGAATCGATTCTTGTCTGCAGTAGACTAAAATGAAGTCCGCGCAGGAAATGGGAATTTACAGGAGACGGATTTTAAAAGTGATGTTTTCTCTAAGAGTTTCTGACAGTTTGATCCATTATATGAACATTGTGCTGTAAATTTCCTGAGGTATATTTGATATCTGGTACAAGACATTACTTAGTGAAACGTTATTCATTGTATAATTATATTTATAGTTTATTATTAATGAGGGCTGTTTAAATCGAACACGGGACCTCCTGAATAATATGCTATAAAGCTACCACTAAAAATATACATGGCAGTTATTTCGACATTCCTTAAACTCAGGACGAATTAAGGTATGGCGCTCGAAACGGTAATGGACAATGTCAACTTAACATTGGAAAATCAGAAATTACGTGCGCCTTTCCAGGAGGCAGAGAAAACTGGACATTTCTGTGTCCAGAGGCCAGATAATATCCTCTCGAGCGTCTATAGATCTTCCAAGAGCCAGTGTGGACAGAACTGCGGGAAAGTTTGTGGTAATGACAGCTATAGAATGCTGTAATATTTTAGCAGAATAGGGGAAACTCTTGAGACACACGTTTCTGTGTTCTTCCAAGCACAAAACTTATTTCTCGCCAGTGTAGTTGATACTATGAATGCTGCAGACTCTTAGCTTGTTTAATACAGAATCTGTATTACATCTGATAAATTATTTATTTTCGAATGATGCTTGAAACGAAGTACAAATTCCTGAAACAACGCAGGTACAGAATCACATTCGAAAAACCTGAAGATGTTTTCTTTCGAGTCCTGATTCCTTCTGACGTGTTTCGCAGAGTGTGAAAAACGTCTTGAATCTGTAATGGATTTGCCTCCCGT